TATGCTCGTGGTGGTGGTGTTGGTTTACTTTTTAAGCAAAATCTTAAGATTAAGAAGTTGAAAACAAGATCACACCAGTCATTTGAATTGATGGAATTATTATTAAATGTAAACTCGTCTACCTACAGAATTGTTGTTATTTACCGTCCTCCCCTATCATCGTTAAACAAAGTAACATATTCTGCATTCCTTGAAGAATTTACAAAGCTACTGGAGCACATCTCCCTAGCTTCTGGAAAGCTTATAATTGTAGGAGATTTTAACTGTCATGTAGATAAAGGAGGTTCTAATGCTCTCAGGTTTTTGGAGCTGCTGCAGATTTTTAATCTTGAACAGCATGTGAATGTACTGACACACAGTAGTGGACATACACTCTACCTTATTATCACCAGGAAAGATGAAACTATGATTAACAATCTTAAACTATTCGACGCTGTTATTTCTGACCATTTTGTGTTGCATTGTAATTTAGACTTGGCTAAGCCTTGTAATGTAAAGTCGGACATTTCGTATCGAAAGCTTGGAGATATTGATACACTTAAGTTTCGTGAAAACATTCTTAGCTCGGAGTTATATACAAGAACTGCACCTACTCTTGAGGAGCGTTTTGACCAATATGATTTGGTATTATCAACATTGTTGGAGAACCATGCCCGACTTCGTAAAAAGACTGTAACGATCCGATCTATGGCTCCATGGTATAATGAAGATATCAAAAAGCAGAAAATAGTAAGACGATGCAAGGAACGGAGATGGCGTAAAAGTGGCTCACAAGTTGATAGACAGGCATATGCTGATCAGTGTATCCTTGTTAAGAACACAATCAGTGAAGCGAAAATGGAATATTATTCATCACTTGTTCAAGATGCTGGTACTGATAGTGGACGAGTTTTTCAGATTATTAATCGATTCCTACACAGGAAACCGGAAAAGCTATATCCTGCATGTATTTGATTCGTCCACAAGGTTAGCAAACCAGTTTGCATATTTCTTCAAAGATAAAATCTTCAAGATAAAACAAGGACTACAAACTCTATTGTCAGAGAATACCCGAGTTTTTTCCCACCTGGATAACCCAAAGCTAACTTTCTGTTTGGATGAGTTTATTTATACCACAACTGAGGAGTTATCTGATATTTTGGAAAAGACTAAACTAAAGTCATGTGTGCTATATCCAATACCAGCAAAGGTACTTTTTTCCCACGTAGATGTGATTTTACCGATTGTCACAGACATAGTTAATTCATCTTTGGAAACTAGCCATGTTCCATCGTCCTTTAAGAAGGCTGCTTCATACCCTACTCTTAAAAAGTCTGTCACGGACTATGAAGAATTTTCCAACTTTCGTCCAATCTCTAACTTAAAGTTTATTTCGAAGATGACTGAAAAAGTGGTTTCCTTACGTCTATTGCATTATCTTCGAAGCAATGGCCTCGAAGAACTATATCAATCCGCTTATAAGCAATTCCATAGTTGTGAAACAGCACTCTACATCACAAAGATCTGGTCTGGTCTGTTCTACAGCAAATGATGGCGGTCCTGCTTTTGGGTTGACTGCTGCTCTTTTATGAACGTTTTCGCTGGAGACAACAATCGATCGCTTCTTTGATTTAGGAATAGTTATATCCTCTTGTTTTATCACACCGCAGCAGAACGCTCCTGAAACGTTATGCCTGGTGTATTATGAATTCAACCAGCATCAGATGCAGTCTCAACATTGCGATCAAAGTTATCCCACCAGAATATCGTTGATATCTTAAGAATACAAAATAAGCAGCTTAATATTCATGTTATTTTCGTTGTAAAAACGGAAATAGTAAATACTTACTTTGGAACCTACATACATATTTGTTTTGTTAATTTTTCTGACGTATGTTATTTAAGTCTTGTAATTACGTCATACGATGCGTTCGCGCCAAATATATGTTTTTCTTTTAATTTTAGTTTCTGTCTTAAAAACTTGTGTATTCAAACAGAACATGGTGACAGGATGGGATTTTCGCTACTAATGTTTGTTTATAACCGAATGTTTATACCTGTAATCGTTTGATGGCTCTTCGTTGACATTGTATGTCGCTTTGCTTCGAAATTTGGTAGATTTTACTTTAATTTGATTGTCATTTATGGATAAGTTTCAACCACCGACGCCAATTTTCCTTCGAAGGAAACATCTCTCGTGGATTGAAAATATGGGAAATATACTTCAATTTTTATCTCACTTCTATTGAATCAAATTCAAAGAGCGATAAAGTGAAAACCTCCATTTTCTTAAACTGTATTGGACCAAAAGGTCGCGAAATTTATGACACATTTACCTGAAACTCAAGGTCGTATTAGAAAAATCCAGTGCATATTGTAATCCTAAAAAGAAGATCCCCATACTTCGGCACCAATTTTTTAGCTACAGCCAACATGAAGGTCAGCCCTTCAACGATTTTGTCACAGAACTTACGAAACGAGCCTCTGAGTGTGAATTTGGGACTTTAGCTGATTCACTGATCAAGGACATGATTGTGGGGTAGCTGATCAATCCCTCCGTGAAAGACTCTTACGTGATGCGGACTTAACACTTGCCAAGGTCGTTGATGCCAGTATTGGTGCAGAGGAGCGTCATGCAAAAGAACTCGAAAAAAATCAACAATCGTCAGATATTCACCAAGTTTATCATTTGAAAGAAAAAAAACTCAAAGAATCCAGCAAAGCCCTTGACGATGTCATCAAGAAACGTAAGTTTTGTACTGGCTCCCACCAACGTGGCAACTGTCCTGCCTACGGGAAACGGTGAAACATGTTCCTAAAAATCAATCAAACGTGTTACTGAGCAGGATAACTCCTCTGATGATGAATTTTTCATCGATATGGTTAAAGTCACTGATACCAATCAGAATCTCTCAACTGAAGGTGATGGTGAAAACACCCCAAATCCATTCCAACAAATGGTCCTCTCAATGTTTTCACAGTTAACCATACCAAATCAGATTGGTCTGCCACACTGTGCCTGAATGGAACTGATGTCAATTTCAACATAGACATTGGAACCCAGTGGATTGCAATTCAAAAACGCCTACTCTCCAACCTTTCACCCAGACCTAAGATCAAAACAGCAAAAGTCCCGCTTTCTGTATATAATGACACAAATATCCCTGTTGCTGGTATACAAGTGCATCGCTCAAGTCAAATGCAGGGGACAAACAATTCCCATTCTCTTAACGGTTGTAGATTCAGACTCTGTCCCAATCTTAGAATTAAATAAATCTAGCAAACTGAATTTGGTCAAACAAGTGTATCAAATTTCGGAGGAAGTGCAATCTCATAGTCCTATTGAGCAGGAATTCTCTGACTGTTTTGGAGAAACTGAATGTTTAAAGTGGACTCGAACTTGATCAAATAGCGTGGACTTGAAATCTAGTCCAGTCCTCATAATTAAGCAGAATTCATATTAGAGACGGAAAACTTGTCTTAGACGGGAAACTCGTCTCAGACGGGAAACTCGTCTAATATGAATCCGGGGGCAGACGAGTTTCCCGTCCGAACTTTCCCATTCAAATTACCCGTCTAAACAGACGGGAAAGTTAGACGGGAAACTCATCTAGATGGGAAACTCGTCTTAAATTCGAATTTATCCGTCCCTAAATTCATATTCAGACGGGTTTTCGCAGACGAGTTTCCCGTCTAAGACGAGTTTCCCGTCGCTAATATGAATTCGGCTATAGTCGGATTTAAGATATTACATACATCATGGCCACACTGGCATTGAAAGTTGCAAACATCGCACGCGAATATTTGTCTGTTGGCCCGGAATAATCGCACAAAATTGAAGAATGAAACTCTGATTCAACCTACGGTTCCGAATGCACCATCGACAAAAGTTGCCTCAGACCTGTTTTCTCTTCATAGACATGACCACGGACTATTTCTCAAAGTACATTGAAATTGAACGACTCACCGACAGATCGAGCGCCACTGTGGTCAACAAAATTAAAAAGGTTTTTACTCGACATGGCATTTCTAAAGAGTTCTGTTCCGACAATGGTCCAGAATACACAGCGGCATGTTTCAAACAGTTATCAAAGAATGGGACTTTAAACACACTACTTCAAGTCCTCACTTTTCGCAGTCCAATGGTTTCGTCGAAAGAGGAATCCTAACTGTCGCGAAGAGTTTGAAAAAAGCACATGTTGGCAACAAGGACCCTTTCCTTGCCTTCTTAGTCGTCAATACAATTCCTGGAAATTACGACAACAAGTCACCAGCTGCGCGCCTCTTCGGTCGTCAACCACGTTTCACATTGCCTTCCCTAATCAGACCTGCATTTCCTCCTCCGTCTCCTCTCAAAGACTCCCAAGCGACGAGAAAAGAAAGATATGATCAACACACTAAAGATCTACCTGATATCTAACCAGGAACTTTTGTTCGAATCCGTGTGAAGGAAGATGAAAAATGGAATCAACTTGGTGAAGTCGTAGAGCTACGGTCTTATCGTGTCTTCAATGGCAAAGGAAACACTGTGAGACTAAAGATATAGGAGGTATAGATCGCCGACTCAGCTCGCGAGGCGTGACATTTTGAACAATCCAAGATGGCGGAACAAGCGGGAAAAAAAACGCGTGAAATTTTTTTCCATATAAACACATTAGTTTGCGAGCGTTCTGCGAAGTTCTCTCGGCTGTTTTGAAGTGTTTTAAAGCGTTCTGATTTTAGCTTTTTTGGCTAAAATATTGAGCAACACCCACCTGGCTCTGTTTTTATTATCCACAACTACAATGCCACAGTCTTGAGCGCGAATGAGAGGCGTAAAACTATACGAATAAGAGTCTGGAGAGTGACATCGAACAGTGCAATTGCTATTTCATTCCGCAGGTAGAATATGCATTTTATAAATGTTTTAATGCCACTTTTTCCGACTTTAGTGGGAAAATATGGTTTATCTTAAGTTGGAAAATATTGTTTATCTTTGTATTATCTATTCTTTTGCTAAAAACGTGAGATTTTTGTCCTTAGTACACAATTATTTTCCATTGTTTTTAAACAGTGCTCAGTAGCTCACTGCTCACACTTGAAACATTAGCCATCTTTTTATTTGCAAAAAAGACTTGATTTCAATGCCGACTATGATTTGCATAATGAAATTATAAATAAACATTTAATATGGCAAGCATAAAATCAGCCTCTCATGAAGTATACCAGACATACCAGATAAATTACCTCCAATAAATATTTTCAAGATCTATCCATCACTTCAGCAGACTTCATTGCATCAAAACAAAGTAAAAAAAAACAAATCCTAAACATTTTCCGATCACAATATCAACAGAAATTCACTGGCAACAACTACACCAACAACTATACAGACAGGTGTGCTGAAAATATAGGTCCATAGGGCTGAAAATATAGGTCTAACTATAAAGAGCTTCAGGCTATGCACAACCTCTTGAAATAAAGCAGTTTAAATATGAAGGTTGATGAATGTTTATGAAATGAAGGTTTACCCATTCAACTTCATTCATGTGATTTGTGCAATCCAATAAAATATATACACCTTTATGTATTCATTAACAAGCTGCAGCGCTTCCCCGTTGACAAGTAAAATCGTCAGGTATTAGACAAGTAAAAAAAAGTAGGGCGCACTGGGGCGCATTGCGGCTCAATGAGTTAATTTAAGGCTTACAAGACAAACCTGAAAAATATCTTCTTGTTGACAAACTTTGGGGATCAATCCAGCAACTCCAACAGCATTAGATGCATCTGCATTACATGCATTGCTAATAAAATAGACACAAATGGACAATGAACAGAATATTTATTTCACAATTTGTGAACCATACAAAATATGAAATAAGCAACTTCAACTACAAAATTCAAATATATTGTAAAATGCATCCGTATAAAAAAATATGCCAACCTAGGCTACATGGCAGATCATTTCACATGCAAATCATCAATGCAAAAATTTGTCAATTTCATCCTTTTGGCATAATAGTACATAATCCAAGTTGGAGCATATGCATATACAATTTAAGACATAACCAGGAGTGGTTGCGAACACTACGTCCTCTTCCAGGAATCAAACCTGTGGCCCTGCAATTATAGTGTAGCACTCTAACCAACTAATGTACTGTACCTATCAATGTTAAGCCCGGGGGGCAAGGGGTGGAGATTTGCACAACCTTGCTTGCTCGACGGGGAGGAATTTTATGTTGCAAGATCACCCCGGTGTGTGGACAGGGCAGCCGAGAGAATATGTGGGGCCCGGGACAAATCTTCCCTGGGGGCCCCATGACATTATTTTTAAACTAGACCCAACTAGATCTTAGCTAGACTGTATGTGGAAGTACTGTAAGGGGCCCTCAATTTCAAAAATGCTCTGACCAATTTAAAGAACCTGCTCAATTTTAGGTTCTTGCTCACAAGTTGGGGGCCCGGGGCAATTTGCAACATGCAATTGTTGGAACAGGCAATTTAATAGTGAGCTTTGTTGAAGTACAACACTTTGGGTGGGTTGATCACAATGGCACCGTGAGAACCATGTTTTGTTGGGTTTTTTTGCAGCACTTTTCTGACAAACCGAAAAATGTTTCCGACAAACCACAAATTTTTCCCGACGACAACATTTTAAATCTTCACCCCCCCCCCACCCCCACCCCCCGTTGTCAACTTTGACAATTTCCGACAACATTGGCAATTTTCTGATGGGTTTTAACAATAGGGGGGAATGGCCCCCTTGCCCCCCCCCCGGCCACAGCGCCACTGGTTGGTGAAACTGATCGATCAGTTTGATCATGAATGCAGTATAACAAATTTTCCCAGCCCCCAGATGGTGGAAATATTACTGCTTTTGACCCAATATTGATTTCCTGAAGTAGAGACAATTTTTGTTCAGGAAAATTTCAAATCCCAACCCCCCGCCCTGGCTTAACATTGCCAAGATGCAACCACAAGTTCATGTACAGTTATATATACATTTCCAGGTGTGTGAGTTTTGATAAGGTAAACTGTAAAGATGTGTTTTGCACTTTACTTGGTTGAACTAGAATGCTGGGTTTAGTGGATAATCCAAGCAAACATATGTATACACAATTTTGACAGAGGACCTAGTGCTGCACTATTTGCAACCGTTCCTGGTTAGGTCTTAAATTGTGGATACATATGCCCCCACTTGAGTTATATCCAGCATTCACTGTCCAGAATATTAACAATCCCATAATATTACAATTTCAATCGGCATTATGAACAGAACACTGTGGCAAACTGGAGAAAGAGCTTGAACCTGACAAAAGTATTGTGTCCAGTATAGTATTTGGTTACACGATAGTGTAGCAATATATTCCATCCATAAAATGTGTTGAATGTGTTAATGCCTTGGTGGCTGAAGATCAAAATATACCACCAGATCAATCATCCTACACCTGTACACCCCCAAACAGCTTCAATTACTTAATTTCCCTCAAGAGTAATATGGAACTTAATAGTTCCTTCGCCATCAGTTGTTAAAATAGTCCAAGTCAGTGTCACAGATAAAATCCTTTGTGAATGGCTCCATCGGTGGAATTTAATGAAGAAAGAATCCCTCCAAGAGATTAAACAGCAAGTTCTGCCGGAGACCAAGCCATCTACATTCACTTGCTTGCACCAGCAATACAGAGGATGCCATATTTTTGTATAAAATTTACGAGATGACCATATTACACTCCTAATCCACTCCATTTCAGACCTCTACGCCAAGATATTTGTCTACCGCTTCGGAAAGATCCATTCGAAGAAAATAGTTCGAGATAAAAAGCCATCGGAGAGACAAAAAATTAACAAACTAATCATCTTTGGTAATGATTAACATTGGATTCGACAGCATACATGTCCATGTGGTTGAATAACTCGACACATATGAGCTGAATATTTCGAGATATAAAAGACAAAAAAACACACTGAATCCTTGAATGACGTTAATAAAGATAATTTTTTAAAATAAAACCGAAATCGTAGCAAAATTCCATGTAGATTTTCCACAATAAGTGCTTGAAAATACCCATATTTATCTAATTTTCCTATGTCACTTGCGTTTTTTGCCCGCTTGTTCCGCCATCTTGGATTTTTAATTTTGGTCACGTCTCGTTTCGTTTCTAGTCTTCAGAATAGGAGTCGGCGATCTATACCTCCTATATCTATGCGTGAGACCAGCCTAGTCCCAGGCTCTCTCTCTATTCGCTGCTTTGATATATTTAAATAAGTCTTAAAAGTTTTATGCCTGGGTGTGCTGTGCGGAACGCTTCGGCGAGAGAGCCTAGCAGATTTCGGTAAAATGGGTTGTTTACCATTGACATGGAAATTCCGGTGATTCCATACGGAAAGTAAAAGGAACAAGCATATTTCGACGGCCCAACCGGAACTTTTCCGGAATAAACGATTTGTTTGAAAAGGTTGTCCTCTCTTACCGATAGGAAAGTTTCAACCGGTAAATGTTGTTCCCTTTACATTTTTTAAATTGTTTTCACCAGTTCCAGGCTCTTCGCGATTTAACATTTGAAATTATTGAAAGGAAATTATTTAATGGAAAGCGAATAATCCGAATGGGTATAATGGGTAGTATTGTTTACATTTTTTTTCGTTATTGTCGCTACTTGACATGCGCATCACGGCATAGTCATGGATACTGCATGTAAGATATAGCCAAACAAATCTCCGTGGAGTCCCCTACTTAAGCTGGCTTTTTAACTAAAAAAATTACTGTAGGGGCCCTTTAAAATAACTTTAGTTTAGTAGAGACCATAGTATTAATACTTTAATTAAACATCACTGTATTTTAGCTTATCAAGCTACTTTGTGAATGCAATAAAACATTATTATAACTTTTCACACCACTGTTGGTCTATATGCACACTTCAAGTGTTTTTTTCCCCTGACGATAAACGACACGATATATGAACACGAAAAACGCGCGAAAATGTTGTAATCATATTGTTGGCCGTAAATGGCTGTAAACGAAATAAATAATTACACTAGAACGACTGCATTTAATTAAATATAACTAAAATATCAAAAATTTAAATGGTGAAAACGAGCGAGGGTTTGTAGCTTGAAAACGACGCTTAAAGTGTTAAAACGAGACTGGAGGGTATGTTTACCCTCTGAATATAATTAATTAGTATTTTTG